AATGACACGTTTTCGTTCCGTACAACATAGGGTAATAATTCGACAGTCACGAAATTATAGTATTGTCAACTGACGCCGGTTAATAGAGAAAAAAAAATGTACGGTAAAATTAGCATTTTTTTTTTTATTTAACTTTGCGGTTTATCGTTTCAATAGAATATTCGAGTGAAAAGCGCGAAATGTTTGTAAAATATTTTCGTAGTTTTAAAATAGTAAAAACAGAGTTTCACTGAGCATTTAACGTTTACCCCAATGACGTTTATCGCTTCTGTAACGGGTCGGTCGGTGTTATTTTTCTCAGTAGAAATCACTTCATTGTAAATTCCTTTAGATAAAATATTTAACGGTCTTCGGGGGAAAAGACTTATACGCGGATCTTGACATTTGTGACGATTAACCGCGGGGAGGAACAGGAAATGGAAACCGCCCCGTCTTCCTCAAAGGACGAACCTTGTTGAAGACATTATTTTAATCCGTAAATCGCCCGTGAACATAAACGGCTCCAATATTAAAACCGAGAAAATAAATGTAAAACCGGGAAAATCGTCTTTTCCGTTTTGCTAACCGTTTATCATGCCGAAATCAATAAATTATGCTTCCCGCCGATTAATTTATGGTTCGATAGTATTGAGAAATTTCATTTTCTGTGCAAATGTGCTGGCCGTTAAACTAAATAGTATTATATATAAATATTAGGTATATACATTTCATTTTTCAAACATTGCATATCCACTACACATCCAGCGTGGTTAATGATAAAAAAAATTTAAAAAAAAAAAATATGCCTTTGCAAAATAAAGTAGTTATCCACTCAATATTCAAACTCGATAAAGTATCCACATATTCTGTTATTTTCTACGTGAATTGCCCGAGTTTGTCCTTTATGGTGGGGCAGCGCTGCATACAATATCAAATTCAGAACCTATTGGATGGTTTACTATGAAGTTTATTTTTTTTTTCTCTGAACACAATTTTTTCCCTTTGTAAAAACGCTTTGAACTATTCACGTTGTACCTTTAATATGTGGATTTTTCGCCCGGCGGCACTTTATTTGAAACATTTTTTTTTTAAACTGACTTAATAGTGCAGCTTTATACTAATCTAGTGCATTTAAAAAAAAAAAAGGGCTGATACTGGGTATGGAAGGGTCCAAAGTTGTAGGTGAAAAGTGGGAAAGGTAGAATACATAAGGTTACTTCATTTATATCTATAAGCAATGATAAACTATTGCTTGATGAAAGACGATTCCATGCGCAGATCGGTAATACATAATTTGAAGTGCCTTCATTTTTTTTGCGATTTTCGTTTAAATTTTACTTCAAAACGGTTATTAAAAAATAAAATCCTCCGATGATTTTGAAAATTTTACCACGTCTAGGTAAGTCCAATATAAGTATTATTACGAAGTTTCAAGTCTCTACGTGTATTTACAACCGAATTGCAGCAGAAAAATCTCTCAAAAATTTAAATTCCTTAAAAGCTCAAAAAAATCTGCAAAGTTTTAACAATGATACCATTAAAAAGTAAATCAAAAAATGCATCTCGTGGTTTTTCGATTAAATCATTTTTTTTTTTTTTTTTGGTAGAAAACGTCGTCCAAGTTTTTATAAAATAATGAAATCGTGAAATTGTACGTTTTCCCTCGGTTTTTCCCACTTAAGTGCTTTTATTTAAAAAATAGCGTCGAAAATCAAAAAATCGCATATTCAAAGTACAATCAAAACAACTTGAACTTTCAGAAAAGCTGCTACACGTACAAATCGGAGCAAGTTTACTAGGTGAAAACGTGTCCACAGACTAGAAAAAAAAGAGAAAAACTAAACATCTAAGAAACCAAAAGCTCCATCGCTACGCTCCGAATTTAAAAAAAATGAGGTGCGATCATTTTTACGCACACAATATTACGTTTTAGACCAAGAGGCGAGTATATGAACCTAACCAAGTACCTGTATATAGTTTCCCATCACTAATTCTCCTAAAACGTTTGAATAATACGTGTGTTCCAAAAATCACACCGCCTCAAGATTTTTCTATAATTTTAACCTACTCTGTATTTTAGAACCATAGTGTTCGGATGTCTGCGAGATAATAGAACGAAAAATTAAAATTATTATTGAGAGTAAACTACTTGGTGAAAATAAAATATCGCAACTTTCGGCAAACTATGTTGACCTAAACTTTCCCCGAAGGACGAGCGTTTTCCGACCTCCACTAAACTCGTATCCGAATGACGTGTAGTACACCTGACTGCCCAGAATATACGTAATAAATAATTAATATTACTGTTGTTGTTGTTGTATTTTTGGTAAATACTATCGAAATGCAAGCGCGGCGATGGTGTACGAGGAAAATCAAGCGGAAAATACGATTACTATGTCGAAGAAATAAATAATAATGAACAACACCTATGTAAATACTGCAACCGTACGTCAACACACACTTTCCATAGGTACTACCTGCTTTAGAACATCGCGGCTTATCGTTTTATAGTCACCTCTGTCTTCCGTTACTCTGAAATTTTCGAAATATTAGACACCACCCACGCCTCAAAATCATTTTATATAACTGTAAAATACTTTAATAATTCGCATTCTATTTTCGAGAAAAACCGCGGATCGTCTCCCACAGTTAATATAATTTACCGTTCACTTCCCAATAATATCTCAAAAAAAAAAAAACAGATATTGCTGATGGACGTACCACTGTATTAGACGGGATGTTTGACGGGGGAAAATACATTAAGTCATATTTTTTTTTTTTTTTTAACACGCAACGATAAACCATTTCGAACTAAAATCTATTCTGATCTGAGTATCGTTAGTCGGAAAAAACTACTCATTGCCAAGGTAACCTAGAAAATCACAAACATTCCAGTTGTCTCATTCATTGAGAATGCCGAGCTTCAAAAAATCTAAAATTCTGTTTAGTTCACTGCGATTTTAAACTATTATGTCATTTTGTCGCGATCTGGTTGGCCGCACAGTCCACTCTGCGAATTCGACAAAACCACTGGAAATAAATTTAGAAACCATTAAAATCATCATAAAATCCAAATCGTGACACAGAATTAAATTGAATACTTTTCCACGGGTACTATATAATATAAAATCTGCGAGCTTGCTGCGTTAAGTATTTGAATCGCGCGAAGAACACACAACGGAGGGAAAAACATTGTTTTTCCGTTGACGAACGATGATAGTCACGTACGTTACACACTGTCCCCTCTTTTTGGATTTTGGGTTTTTCGATGTAACTTAGTACTTATATAATAGTACGACATTAGGTTTGTATTCGTCGGACATATTTCGGAATTCGTTTGCGCTTCGGGAGTAACGTTAGTACAGCCACACATCAGTATTTCGACTATAACGGACGTAGAAAGTTCAAAAAAAAAAAAAAAATACAAATACAAATTACATATTAAATGAGGAACGGGGTATTAGAGAAATTAAAATCTAAAAAGCGAAAGGTAAGGGTAACGTACGTCGACGAGTCGTTAAAAACGTATTGCTAAAATTCAATTTTTCTATTACGCACTGACCGTGTTCATTATAAAATCCCCCGGTTAAGGATCTTTCCAGTTTATAATCGAAACCGACATTTTCTCGAACATTAGTGATATGACGATAGCCGTCGTGATTTTGTCTGTAATCCGAGCTTATAAGTTTCGTTCGTTTCGGACAATATAATAATTCATGTCCGTCGTATAGTTGCAAAACGGAAGAAGTTATAAGATTCATCCCCGTGTGCGTTTGTTGGCTTTGGGGTACCGTTTCCGTAAGAAATTGGCTATAAAGGCTATGTAGTATAAAGTGAAACGCGGAGATTACGAAACCGCGAACGAAATATTGATTGCGGGTAGTTGAGTTTACCGAACAAACAAAATCGAATGTGAACAACATTATTGCCGGATACGCGTGCATTGACCGTGCGCCATTGTGCAGCGTAGTGGCACTCCCGCAACGTTCGGAATTTGATTTCAATACCATTTCAAACGGTCATGTTATATTTGTCTTACGCGAGAGCGAGAAAACGGGAAAACAGCCGTGCGCCAAACCTAATTAAATTGAGTTGTCACGAATCGATTGGAAGCCGCGCGCAATATATTTCACTGTTGTAGCAGCTTACCGTCTCGAAATATCATAACGCCGTAGTCATTTCGTATTATGATTTTCGCTCGTCACCGTCCACGGCAACACGAATTTTCTAACGCGAAACCGAACATGCCGGACGCGGTGCGTTTTACATTCGAGGCGTGGTTTTTCAGCGACATAACAGGATTTAGGTTTTAGAGCGTTTCTCTTAAGTGCACCGGGGGACACTGCAGTATCGTGTCTGGACGTAACGGATTTCGGTTCCTACATGCGACGTTAATTCCGTAATAATTTGTTTGACGACTTAATAATTCGTGTAAGTAAACGATACAATACATTAACAATGGTTTGTAGATTATGTTCATTCAACATACTAAAGATAACATATTTATTTTGTCTTTACAACGTTTGACGGATCCAACAGTTTTGACCTTTTCTGTTATTTTCAGAATTCAAAACTAATAAAAAAAAAAAGCAGAGGGCATTTCGTTTATTCAGAAATAATATTGCTGCGCATATTTTGACCAGATATTACACGGTGTGATATCATTTTTAATTTAGAGTTGTAACGTACATCGTTCGGTTGCCGATAGTTATCATACAATTGAATACGACGGTGTGATTAAAAAAAAAAAATTTCTTTATTCTACAATTATTTATGGAAATGTTTACAAACAGTATTATCTGTAGGTTGTATATAATAAATATATGTTTGGCTGGTTAGGCCGATTGTAGTGGTCGAAAAATAAAAAAAAAAAAAAGCCTATTTATCGGTTAGATAATTTTTTTTTCATTCGCTTCGAAATTAACGGAAAAAAACGGAGCAACAATGTGACCACGTGTGAACAGTTATGTCCTTACCTACTTGCACCTGCGAACATTTTTGTCCGTACATGCATGAAGAGGTTAAAAAACCCATTTACGCAAAACTGCAGGAACAATTTTAACTAACCAAGCAATACTAAATCCCACTAGAACTCCTGTGACTGTAGATTTTGAGGATAGTAAAGCTCCTACGGACCACCTATCACGTGTCGGGCCATCGGGAATTGATGAATCGATCATATCCAGTGAAACTCCTGGCAACGGTCCTTGTTTCGAATTAAAACATTTTTCAGATATGGGTGAAAATAAACTTCCCGTCAATGGGAATCCAACTGAACTATAGCTCAATGTAGTGTAATAACGCTGACGAAACGCGAAACCACCTTGGGCCTCATTGAACGTAAGCGAGTCGTTATTGGCGGTGATATCGCGATTTGCGGATATGATTATCGAATCGCTACTGGGTTCCGGATTGACCGAATCGATCGATGTTTCGATCGCGGGCTGCATCGCATCGCCATTCACTTCTTCCCTGCACTCGGTTATGACGGAGGTGCCATATTCGTCGTCGAGCACGTCGGATACTGAAGTAATTGTAGAGTTTAAATTCCTTTGCATTTCTAACAACATCTCCCTTGTCACGAAGTAAGTCTATTGGTTATTGATTTTAACATGCGTTATTATCGAGTGCGCATATTATAATGTTATTCAATTTTTTTTTTTATACAAATGCGTATTTTACCTCAGACAGTTTCGGTGCGACCAACGTCAAGAGGGCGCACAAGCATCGGACTTGTACTTCACAAGCGTGTCCATTCACCAGATCGTTTACGAACGACCATACTATTTCTTTGGGATAAACCCCGAATTTGAACAATTCGCCTATGAACCTATAAAACGGCAAAACGCATAAATAATATCAAATAAAATAAAAAAACAATCGCGATGTATATTATAATTATAAATATTGAAAACGTACTGACAATTCGATATGAAATCATTGGCCCGGCGTTCCGAGCATTGCCTCGTCTAAAACATGATTATTGAGTATTAATAACGTAGTTTTTATACGGGAATCGAAATTTAATATTAGATTTTGTGTCGATACTCAGTGACCGGTGTTGTAAAAAATAATTTTGAAATATTATATTAAGTATATTATATTAAAAAAAAATCGCGAGCAACAAATTATAGTAATTTTTCGAATGTCCAAATGACAGTGGAGGCGAACGCGACTTGAATAAGCGTAACGGCCCAATAAATAATATATAATTATCTAAAATCGAAAAATACGAAAAATCCAAAACACGTACGGTACTAGGTTAGCATAGTATAACAACCGAGAGGAGATTGCCCAGAGGCGTAGCTAGAAATATTCCTCTGGGCAAGCCAGAGAGATGAATAATAAAAATGTTTGTTATTACCGTATTCGGTTATTAATACAAAATGTTTGATTATAAAATATTGCATAATTATCGGAGAAAAAGTGGGTGTGCCGGCCTGACCGCCGTCAACGGCATGCCGTAGAATGTGGCGTGCATTTCAAACAAACGATAAATTAATAATACAATTATAATTTATAACGAATATAACTCAGTTATTCGGCAATATTATTGTTATCATCTTGAAAGGACGCCGCACCGATATATTCGACTGTCTCCGTCTTGCACACGCGAGACATAGAAAAATTTGAGTTCGGTAAAGCAAATTAACTTGTTGCCAAACTTCTGAATGGTATTGCGTGCCCTACCGTTGATGGTCTTTCGATATTTTAACTTTTGGGCAAGACATAATAATTTTTTAACGGTGATAGTTAACATAGTCATACATCGATTTATATTGAAAATTCAGAAAAAGTATTTTAGGTTAAGTATTTATTACTCCAGTATTGAATGGTGGAAACAACTATTTAAAATGTATTCCAATACTTATAAATGAACAGTATTTTAAAATACGTATTAAATTCTTGGAAAAGAATTTAAACACCAATACACTCGTATACTTTTACTCAAATGCTTAACAACGCTGACGGTACCTCCGATATCTTGCAACATTCTTTAAGATCGTCGTAACATTTCGGTAGCAATGCTGTTTGGAATGCCGGCCCAGAACCGGGACGCGCACCGTCAAAGCCGCCGTTAATCAACCTAGCGCACATTGTCGCATACAATTTAATATACTTCGGACGTGCCATAGCCTAAACGGGATGTAATACGCGCGACATTACGATCATTGATCACGTTAAAAAATATCCGTGCTCGATGCTTATTATCTATAATCGTTCTTACTTTAGAGCGTATTACGCCGGCGACGACGTTTAGGTGACTTCTTTTCGTCACCGGCAGTGCTCTAATTTTCCTATACATAGCATCACAATTTTCCGGGTTCAAACTGTAAACGGCAGAACCGAAAATGTGTGCGATACCCTGTGTAAAATAAAATCCGACGGTTAAAATATATAAATGTAAACATGTTTTATATTTCGTTGTTTATTATTCCGGTACTTACCGATGATTGAGTCATGATGGAAGATAGAAATGAAAGATAAAGCGTGAGAGCTATAAGTAGTACACGGTTTTTAAATAATTTGAAACTGCGAGAAGTTCGCGATTAAAAAATATGAAAAAAAAAGTGAACATAAATAGTGAAAACAAGCGCTTTTATAGTGCCGTGAACGTAAACAAAAAGGCGGTTACCATCACGGTTGAAAATATTTATTTAAAAACGTCGTCAAGTGTCAAATTTTCGGTCTGAAAAAAACAATTGGCGTATTAAATTTAATACTAATTCAGTTATTCGAATTCGGGAGACAATAATGGCTATTAGAATTGGAGACCTCGATCCAACAATAAGATGATAACACTTTTTTTTTTCATCGAAAACGCGCTTTTTGACGTTGCAATCTAAATGAAAAGAGCTGATACTATTAGTGGATGCATCACTGTTGTGGGCGGGAAATCGGGAAGGCAGAATATAATAATAAAGCGTTATTCAATTACAAATCATGGCCAACGAAGATCGAATCTGAGCAACGTCCGGTTAAAGTAGCCGAGCTTATAAGAATAGTTAATCCTACTTGAATAAGGATAAACAACTTCGGAAAATCATCTTCGTTCACCACTTTATTTATTCCAAGTATATCAACTAATGGTGCGGATCTGTGTGTTTTCGGAGAAAAACTGCAATCGAAATGGTCTCATCGGATCGACAATTTATTATGCTCGTTTTATTTTTAGACGGTATTTTCTATTGCCCGTTACGCGAAAAAAATTGACAATGTGTAACGGGCTACGGGCACGCTCTGTATAATGCATCATTTATATCGTCGCTTAATGTGCAACAAAGCATAATATCTCAGTTTTTGTAGTTTTTTTGGAGAGGCATTCCAATGTTATGTTGGCAGATTTAAGAACAATACATGTATGTTTATGTTTAATATCTAATCGCACAGAAAATTCCCCCGGTGAATAAATGCTCAAAATCACTTGTTTTATTAATGTTGATAATAATCTCAATTTATTAAATTTTGAGATGTGCACGTTGCACTTGGCGATGATAGGGCTTAAAAATTGATAAGCTTTCTATTGCGAGAACAAATTTGTAGGTGCTTTACACCCCCAAGAACCCCCCAAATTGTGTCAATGTCTTTGAGGTGGGTGCGATTTAATATTATTTTATTATTTCTAAAAATGAGCTTATTGTATATAAAAATATAAATTGAAATGATTAGTTTGCGAGCGGTTTTTTTTCCGTTGGTTTTTCTGATCAAAAAAATTGCTCCCTCCCAATTAAAACTAAAATTAATTAAATTAATTTTTTGATTTTTGCAGCAGTTTTCCTAAAAAAAGTAAAATCGTAAGAAAAACGGGGAATTAACGAAAATAATACTATTATTATTTGTTCAATTTTGTTATTTATTGTAATTCGGTTAAAAATATTTTTAGAAACTTGAAATTTAGACAGAAAACTTATATTTATTTTTCCTAGACATGATAAGTTTTTCATAACATTTAGGCCATTTTTGATCTATTTATAGATATTTTAATTTTGTGAGTTTTATACGTAATTTTTATTCAGTAGGTATTTTTTTTTAATAATCTATACATTTGTGGATTTTACAATTATCTACAATGAATATTCAATTGTTTACAATTTATCTAGAACCGATCGGCAAACATAGTGGGGGGAGACAATTTCACGTACGAAAGATAAGCATTTTTTGTACGGGCAAAACTGGGCAGGACGGCCAGTTATATTATATTTTATGTGTTATAACTTATAAATTGGTTGGTAATTTGAATTTGATACTGAAATTATTTTTAAACATACAAAAAATTGGCTATCAATGGCGTGCGCAGTGAGATGAAGGTTAGGAGTCATATTATTCCGTTAGATTTCTAACGCAACAACACAATGAATATATATTTATTACCTGATTCAATTTTGAATTAGGTAAATTTCAGCCAATTCACAAGGAAAATCTTGATTTATTGATTACAATTAAAAATCTACCTTGTACACTCCCATTGTCGAGTCATTTAAAAAAAGAAGATTCTACGATTTATGTATGATGAATACTTGCAACGTTCCCTTCCATCGGAAATGCCTGGGTATGCCAATGGCTCTGTTAAATACGTTTCCAACAATTGTGCACCGAAACGGTTAGGATGCGGTTTCTATACTTTTTAGCGACTTCCAACTGTGATTCACTTACCGAACACGCGAATTCGATTTCAAAAACAAAGTACATAATATAATAACGCACTTCCGGCAGCGGTGGCAGCGGTGACACCATGACTGTAATATTATATACATAGACTATAAATTGTTCCGGCTCGAATGTGGTATTTCGCATGATTTGACGTTAAAAAAAAAACACTACGTAAACAAAGCGAAATGTCAGAGAGAAAACCATGAGCCGAGAGCGACATTTTTTCTCGTCGGATTCCAACAGGTCCTTTGCGGTTGTGTACGCAAACCATAGCGAATAAACGAAACACCCAGCCACCGAGGACCGATAGTGTGCCCTCTGGCCTATTAATTATGACGCACGGGAAACTAACGCGAACGCGACGTTACATTCCGTTCGGATTACCTACCTGCGGTCGTTGGGTTTTTGCGAATTGAAAACCGCAGAAATTAATTACACGAGTGCATAGGTACCCGGCTGGGTTCCGATCCAATTATTCGAATCGGATCAAAACGTAAAACCCGTTTTGACGTCCGCCCGTAATAATATAGCGAATGTTTTGATAACCTCCTAACCGTACGGCTGTTGTACGTGTGATAACAACAATTATGTTTCGTGAACTTTTAATTGACTTTCGGTTAGTTTTTGCCGTACGGCCCGTTACTGTGATACGGCCGAAAAATTAATAATTTATAACCGCAACGCGCGTATTGCATTGTAATCGTTATGCGTCGCATGATAATAATCGATTTCGCGTATGGTGTCGGCGGCAATACGCATAATAATTGCATTTTTTTTTTTTTTTTTTTCTATAAAATGCCGCATAGTCGACAATCTATAGGATTTGTTCAAATGGCCTGGGCATTGTGCGAAATGCCGAACAATATAATACAATATTTATATACATAATGTCGACAAAAAAGATACGGAGTGCCGGTTTTTCAGATTTTTTAAACGAGGACGAGGAGAGGCGCACAATATTTTGACAAGGAGATAGTGAAACGGGTAATATTTCATTGATTAATTACATGTTTAATTATAAATTTGGATTTTTTTTTTTTTTTTTTTGCAAGTGTCCCGGAACGGTTTTATCACAATTTACTGACTGTCAATAAAATTGCGTTACTGTAGAAGTGGTCAACTGGGAAAAAGTATAATTGGACTTGCTATCGATTGCCGCTCAAAAAGCAAATGCTGGACGAGTACTAACTGAATGTTCCGGCATAATGACACGCGAAAATAACCGATACGAGTGTTTTAAAATATACAATTTATTGCAATTCAAAATTGCATCCTAGTAAAAATTGTTGTAACAAATACATTTTACTACTGTTCGTTAAAATACTTTTGATATTGTATGTATTTCGCCTAAACAGTAGGTATTTGAAATAAACAATAATTACTATCAAATGCATTCTGTAATATTAAATCGGTACCTGATAAATGGGTAGGTACCTGAATAATTATAATATAACAATAATCATTAATAATTCGTAATAAGTATTTTTTTCGTGATAATAAAATTAATTATCTTTAGTGAAGTGCTCGTATGACAGAACTAAATGGATTTTCCTATTCTGCCGATTGCCCATTTAATATATTGTATGATTATTTTTTTTTTTCAATTAAGTTGTGCATGTAAACGAAAAAAGTACAAAATATAGTAGCTGCCTCGCGCGCCACGTTGCCCGTGCTAATATTTTATTTATTTATTTTTTTTTTTTTTTTTTACCTTCATTTCCGTATTGCTTTGTTCGTATCAGTCTATTGAACTGAAAAAAAAAACAGGTGGAACGTGAATAGTCTACGGACGAAAAGTTTTCTGGTACATTATACATTTTTTCACTCGTGTTACCGTAGATATTACATAACTAATACATTTTTTTTTTCTGTTTATTTTTTTTGTTTTAAATTTTTACATTCATTTCAACCGCGTTATCGTGGTAATCCATAATTCAACAAAAATAATTCAATTTTCGTACCAAAAATACCGACGAATTTTCCCTATTTCACGTCCTTCAAGTTTTGTTTTCACGACAAAAAGTAACCACCGTTTAAACCGTGTAAACTTTTTTCCCGGGGATCAAAATCCGTTCAGTAGTTTTTGCGTGAAAGATTAACAAACACCCATACATTCTCACGAACTTTCACGTGTATAATACGAGTAGTATAGGATAGGACATATAAGTATTAAAAAGTAGCTAGACAATATATAAAATTCCTATTGTATAAAAAAACCGTGATTATACGTAATGATTTGGCGACATAATCCAATGTCGTCAACGTTTTTATCATAACGGTTTTAGCGACTCTGTAGACGGCTAAACAAAGTAAACACGCGTGTAAAGTACCTATGAAATATCGTACAAATGGGTAATTTTCCAGTTCTATAGCCTTAACGATCGATAAAATCACAACAAAAAAAAAAAAAAAATGGTAAAATGTTTTACAGTAATCTAATAGACAAAATCGATAAACCGGTGCTTGTTTAAAACGATACTGAACAAAGTTGAAATTCGGTGTTAAATATGTTTTAAAATGCAGTAATTTTTAAACTGTCATGCTTTTTGAATTCAACGATTTTTGTATGCTTATCGTTTTAGATTTATATCACATAAGGTATGTCTTTTTTTTTTTTTTGATAATTTTTAATACACAACTAGGCGTTCAACTGGCCAATGGTTTTCCGATATGTCATTGGACGAATTTAAAAAATGGACCGATGCCATTGAAAATTCGGCGCGAATCCCTTGCCGCCCAAGGGAGGGCAATTGTTTGAAAACTCTTAAAGTAGCATGGAGAAATCTAGCAGGCTCTGGGTGAAATTACAGAA